CGTATGTACTCTTTCTCAGGAAGCTAAAAGAGGATGTACCTCTAAAATAAAGTATTAGACTACAAAAGGGTAATTACTGGATTTAAGAAACAGAAGGCCCCACACAGAGGACAGGTAAATCCTGACAAGGATGGTGCAGGGTGATCCCAGGATGACAGCTGTGTCACTGAGGGCAGCTGGTTGGCAATGGAGCAGACAAGTTTGCGGGGGAGTTTTATCTGACAATAAAATGGACTGACTGTGTTGTAAGGAAATTTGTGACTCACTGATAATAAGTACAAATAAAACCAAGCAAAGAGAAAACAGGACAATTATTCATTCCAGGGAAAACAAAAAGTTGTCTAGGAAAGGAAGAGCATGGTTTACTCTATGGTTTGACTGTGAATAGCTTTTATATAGTCACAATAAGATGAAGACTCAACACTGATGTAGCCAAAGTAACAGTACAACTGTCTTAAAGATGAGGACACGGGAAGAGGGCATGTGTGTGGTATAAGGATGGAAATCCGGGGCACCTGGGTGGCTGAGTCGGTTAAGCGTCCGACTTTCGCTTAGGTTATGATCTCACAGTTCGTGGGTTCGAGCCCCGCGTCGGGCTCTGTGCTGACTGCCAGCTCAGAGCCTGGAGCCTGTTTCAGTCTGTGACTCCCTCTCTCTCCGACCCTCCCCTGCTCATGCTGTCTCTCTCTCTCCTAGAAATAAATTTAAAAAATTAAAAAAAAAAAAAAGACATAGCAACACAAACATGTTATTTAGAGACAGGAAGTAATACCAACATAATCAGTTCAAAACAGTTGAAAGTTACCACCACTGGGGGTGAGGACATCGTAGGAGAGGGGGCTGGAGACTGGACGTTTGGGGGAATATATAGACTATTTGACTTTTTAAACTATATATATGACAAAACTTGGTTAAAATTAAAATTATTCAGTATTATCTGGAGAAAATGAAAACATTAATTCAAAAAGATATGTGCACCCCCATGTTCATTGCAACATTGCTTACAATAGCCAATATACGGAAATGACCTAAGTGTCCATAGATAGATGAATGGAAAAATAAATTGTGATATATACATAATAGAATATTGTTTAGCCATAAAAAAGACTGAAATCTTGCCACTTGCAACAACATGGATGGATCTCTGGGGCATTATGTGAAGTGAGATAAGTCAGACAAAGACAAACACTGTATAATCTCACTTCTATGCAGAATCTAAAAAACCAAAACAAGAAACAAAAACCCCAACAAACTCATAAATACAGAGAACAGATGAATGGTTGCTAGAGGTAGGGGTGAGCAGAGGAGAAATGAGTGAAGGGAGTCAAAAGGTAAAAAAACAAACAAACAAAAAAAAAAAACACAATAGAATAGTAAGCAGATGAAGAATGCATTCAGTTATAAAGAACAAAACTGCAGTCATGTGAAAGATAAGAAACAAAGTTCTGGATAAAGTATCATTGCTTAACACTCTTCTTGTGAGGATGAGTTTGTTCTGCTCTTAGGACCCCAGTGCTACTTTCTTACAGAAACATTCCTCAGATTTCTACATGTCAGTCTTCGTAGTAACATCTCAGTTCCGGTGTCACCTCCTAAAGTAGGACTCCAGCCCTCTCCTCTAGCCACTCTTTATCAGATCCTTCATTCTTTTTAATTTTCTTTATAGAACTCATTACAACTTGCAGGCCTCATAATTCTCAATAAATACCTTTTTTGCTGGTGGCTCGTATGTTTCCTTCACTAAGTATAAGCTTTTGGAGGTAGAGACTATGTCTGGCTTTTTCACTGCCGTCCCCCTAATCCCACAGCTAGAACAAGAGGCATTTTCTCAGTATCCGATTGGATGGATTCATATGTAAGGTAGTCAAGCAATTTTCTTACTACAATGGGTCTGTTTCATTAAACATAAATTAGAGCTCTGAGTCCCTTCTCAAGCTTCCTTTGCAACACTATACAGACATCCCTAACATTAGGAAATCAAAATGAATAATTGCATTCAGTTCTTAGTCTTGTGAAAATTCTGAGTATGTCCATATCTGCTTGCCACCTCCTGGGCCATGCAGTTCATCATTTATCTGCACTGAACCTGTTAAAACACGAAGGGCATGGGCTTTGGAGTCAAACGGACTTGAATTCTATTCCCTGCTGTGACATTTACAGTTGTGCTCCTTTGAACAAGTTAGTGAATTTGTTCAAGCCTCAGTTTCCTCTTATTTAAAATGGAATGATATTAGTATCTACCAGATGGGATTATTGGGGATTAGAAGACACAATGTATGTGCACCATATGATACAGGCATGAGGTGGGGTGGATGGAAAGAGAGGGAGGATACGTAGAAGGGATCTGGAGGCAGCTCACACAGAACGCTCTTTCAGAGAAAGTGACCGGGGGAACTTGCGGGAGTGGGGAGGCTGGTGTATAGGACAAAGAAGATATTTGATGACCTCAACAGATGAAAGATATGATATATTCATCATCTGTAGAGGCAACCGTGAAAGAAGGGGAGTGCGAAAATACAGAAGAGCAGGTGCCTCATATCTATTCTAAAAGACACAGAAAGGATCAGATCAAAAAATATGGGAGAACAGATTTTTTAGTGAGAGACTGTTTACTCTGAAACTAGAAGAAAAAATATGATTATGAAGGCAAATACATAAATATGAAAGATTTGGAATTGTTCCTAAAAGTTCCAGTGACTTCTGTGTAATATATGCATAGTGATAAAAGCACACTTCTGGTCAAAAGAAAACATTTTTTTAAATGTTTACTTTTTTATTTTGAGAGACAGAGCATGAGCAGGAGAGGGACAGAGAGAGAATCCCGAGCAGGCTCCGTGCTGTTAGCGTAGAGCCTGACATGGGGCTTCTTCCCATGTCATGTCAGATCATGACCTAAGCTGAAATCAAGAGTGGGGAACCTAACCAACTGAGCCACACAGGTGCCCCAAAGTAAAACTTTTAATGGCCTTATTAAACATTAGGATGGAGATCAGAGAAGCATCTTTTCCGAGGATGATCGAGTTAACTTTTAGAAAGCAAAAGATCAGCAGAGATCAGGGCATGTTGGGGACGAACATATGTTGAGATGTCTTCTGAGAACCAACCCATTCTTCTTTCTCTGATAATGATCCAACCTCTCTCCTCAGAGGTGGTGCTCGGCAGCCATGTTTGTACTGTGGATCTTGTGCCTCTGGTTACAGTACTTTGGACTGGGATGGGCAACTTCCCCAAGTTTGGACATCCATTTGTTTTTTTAATAATTTAAAATTGTGACTGAGAGATAGTAGTGTATGGGTAGAGCTGAGGGGATGTAGAAACTCAGGAACTGCAGATGTACATGTTAGCTCAAAAGGGTAGTCCACAGAGAGAGAAGAATATGTCTAATGTGGCTAACATTAGAGGCATAACACAGACCATATGGCCCAGAGAGAGAGCAAGAGAGACTGTTCTAGATTCTACTGGCTTTTCAGTCTGAGTTCTGTTCCATTAAGACTTGGCTAAAACCCACCCTTGGTTCAGGGCACCACTCCTGTGTCTTTATTGTAAATATCCTCTCCTTATGTCTGTGATAATTTTAGGAAGGTTTCTGTTACTGGAAAACAAAAATCTTTCCTAGGACAATTCTCCCCCACTTCCAATAGGGTCTTCTGGCCATTGATTTCTTTCTACTTATGGTCTCTTGGAAAGTCTACAGTGTCTCCATGATCACCTGGTTTTCATTCTTCTCTAGGACTAAATGCTCACAATGCCAATCCCCATCTTGCCCTGCTTACTTGTATCTTCCTCAGCTTCCATGCCCTAAAAGACTTAGGTTCTCCAGAAAGCCTTCCTGGACCACCTCAGACCTCAAGGCCCACTCTTCCAATAGCATCAGGCTATGTCAGTGGATCTCATGTAACAGACCACAGTCTAAGTCCAGAAGGGCTGCATAAGCATCATCTGGAGCTTCTTAAAAATTACATACTGTTACCACTCTCCCCACCCCTAAGATGCTAATTCAGTAGATATGAGTGAAGCCTGTGCTTATTTAAAGCCCCCTAACTGATTCTTACATACATTCCAGTTTGACAACCACTAAGAGAGAGATCCATTTGAACTTTCTCTAAATATGTGGCCAGGTCTTCTACTAATATGATTCGCCCCAGGTTAAGGAAGTAACCATATTATCCAAGCCTTGAACCTCTCTTTGTCATGCCCAGGACACTGAGGGATTTGGAAAAAGGAGATGACATTGTAGATCGTGCCTGGATACCAATGTCCTCTTCATTATGGAGTAAATCCAGACAAGAGAAGAATTCTCATGAACCTTTTCTCTCCTGGCAACCCCTTCGAGGGCAAATCTGAATTCAGAAGGTAAATCTCATGAAGTCCTCATGAAATGGCCCATTCACAAGTAACACAATGGGCCCCAAAAGGATGAGTCAAATGGAACAAGATATAGCTGGACTGGCCTGAGGATGGCTGCCAATCTCCAGTATGAAATGGTCATGCTAACTGTTCATCACCTGGAATCCTAGTCCTAGTATCCTTCACACCCTGAGAGAATTGGCCAAGACCTGGTAGAAAGCATACAGTACAAAGACCATTAAAAATTTTACTGCTGCATGAGAAACAATGAAATCTGGCCATGTGTAGCAACAGGGATGGACCTTGAGGGTGTTATGCTGAGCGAAATAAGTCAGGCAGAGAAGGACAAATATCCTATGTTTGCACATATAGGAGGATTAGGAAGAACTTAACTGAGGACCAAGGGGGAGAAGAAGGGGGGAAATGGTGGGGGAAAGGGAGAGAGGCAAACCATGAGAGACTCTTGAATGCTGACAAAAACTGAGAACTGATGGATGTGGGGGGGAGGGGGATGGGCATGGAGGAGGGCACTTGTGGGGATGAGCACTGGGTGTTATGTGGAAACTAATTTGACAATAAACTGTTTGTAAAAAAAAAAAGATAAATGTTAATGAATAAATATACACAGAAAAGAATGGTCAAAAAAAAAAAAGAATAAAAAAAATTAAAAATAAAAAATTTTACTGCTGCTAGCCAGAGCTTTGAGTAGAGCAAGAAGAGTGTGTGTGTGTGTGTGTGTGTGTGTGTGTGTGTGTGTGTGTGTTGGGAGTGGGAAGGGGCACTTGTTGCTGACCTGCAAGTGCCCCAGAAGTCCTGCAGTGGATACCAGGCCCAAGAGAGGAGACCTATAGGACAGAGGTTGATCCCATCCAAAGTCAGCACAGTGGGGATATGCTTAGAAGACCGAGGCACTGAGTACACAAGGACTGTCCGAAACTTGCGAGGAATCCGTCAGGTGTCCCCCACAATCTGTTTTTCTCAGAAGGTTCATTACCTAAAGTAGCAAAAAACCATATGACCGAGGTTGTTGGAGCTCAACAATGCTAGGATCCTACATCTGATTCCCCACCTCCCCCAAATCTCACCCCCTCACTCACTTCTGCTCTTCTATTCCCTGCCCACTACTTGTCTATATCACCCTTCCCTGAAACTATTGGTCCCCAAAGAACGCTCCTCCACCCTATCCTGTTCAGAGTCACCCATGCTCTGGCTCCCAGACTCCTGGCACCTCTGTACCTGGGAGCACTGGACAAGCATATGCCTCTGATGATGAGAATGGTGCCCACAAGAAAGCCCACAAGGCCGAGGGCCAGGCCGAGGGCCCAGACCAGAGTCTCGGTGGTGTCTGGCAGCAGGATAGGCACCTGGGGCTCTGGGAGGAGAGAGGAAGTGTCAGGGGGTGCAGTGAAATAATTCTAGAGTATAGGAAACATGGGTCTGTGAAGAGTGAGCTGGGGAGGGCGTTCCATACCCCAGTGCCTGAGGAGAGGCTCATCCAGGCCCCAGTGCTCCACCTTGCAGTCATACATGTCGTCTTCTGAAGGCACAAAGGTCAGGTAGTAGAACTTGCGGAACAGATGGTCAGGCTGGGAGTATAAGCTGGTCTGGGCCACCCCCTCGGTGATTATTTGACCATTGCGTAACCAGGTGATATTGATCACAGGGGGGAAGATGTTGTCCACCATGCAGATGAGGATGTTGGGTTGGCCCAGCTCCACTCGAAACTTGGGGAGTACAGTCACCCTCGGAGTCACTAGGAGGAAAGAGGTCCTGAATCCCAAAGGCTCATCCCTGCAACTGGGCCTGACTAGGACTGGGATTGAGGGATGTTTCCTCTTACTTGGGATTTGCAGGCAGGGGATTCTCTGGGACATAACTGCTGGGGTGGGAGGTGGGCAGAGAGAAGAGAGGCTGAGGAGGGCAATGGGGGCACCAGGGGCTCCTATATCTGACAGATTACTGAGAGAGAATCCAGGGGCGAGGGGTCAGTCCTCAAGAAAGAAGAAGGTGTTGAAGGGATCTAGATCTAGAGCCTCCTGGAAAAGAAAGGGGCTGAGTCACAGAGGCTGAGAGAGAGGTGTGGCAAAGTAGATTGAGACCTATGAAGTGGGAAGAGGCTTCTTGGGCCTCCCATGCCTATGGGGGTGGGAGGGGAGGGGAGGGGTGAGGAAAAGCCAGTACCTTTGGTGGCTCTGGTGCGGTTGGAGCGTTCCACCAAGACATCCAGATGGGCTTTGATCACTGTGATGCTGGCCAGCCCATTCTGTGGATCAAAGTAGGCGAAGTTGCCAAACTCAGGCAAACGCCACACAGCTTCCCTCTTCTTCAGCTCCACAGAGAATAGCTGTTCCCCATCAAATTCATAGGCAAACTGACCCGAGGCACCATAAGATTGGTAGAAGGCTGGTCCATAGGAGCCCATGTGATCAGCTGTATTGGGTGAGTTCAGGGTCAGAGAGAGAAAAGAAAATCTATCAATCTCACCTAAAACATGTGCCCCATCCTGGGTTCTCTGTGGGGACAGAGTTGAGCTGTTGAGCTGGTCCTTGGACAGTGGGATGGTTGCTGGCGGTAGAAGGGACAGCGGGAAACAGGCATATGCCCAACACACTGGCAGGAAGAGAGACACAGGTACAGCCTGGCATACCAGGTTGGGAAGAGAGGCTGCCTAAAATCATGCTTGAGATTCCCAGAGTTAAATGGTAGCTGTGATCATCTCTCAGGTCCTGGGCTATCAGCTCCTGTGTGTGACATGAGTGGGGGAGTGGGGGGGTGGGGGCTGGGATGGGGGTAAATGATTAGGATGTACCTAAGAGGAGCCTTGGGCACAAAGCTGCAGTACAGGTAGGCGTGAGGGGAGAATAGGTGATGGTTGGTGGAAGTAAGAATTAAGATTTGTGATAGAGACCAAACAGGTAGGAAAAGACAGCCTAAGGTATTACAGAGAATATTGGAAAAGGTGTCCAAAGGTCAAGTCAAATTCATTCCCCAACTCTTCCACCTCAATGGATTATGATCAAAAGTGTCTTTCCATAACTGAAACTCAGTTTTCTGGAAATTCAGGTTAGATTTTAATTGGTAAGGGACCTTTAGAATTCTATGAAATTATATGCTCAACAGTCATTGAGGGAGTACTATGTGCCCAGTATGAAGCCAAGCTCCAAGGAAATATAGCTAAACCAGCTGTGAATCACACACACACACACACACACACACACACAAGACGCTCATATCTAGAGCAGGATTAAGACAGATAAACAGTTAACTATCCACATGGTTAGTTAATAAATACAGCAATAAAACTGGACTTGAATGGGCATGCTCCAAGCCAGGAAGTGGCACAAAAATCACTGTGCTGGCTGACAGTAGGATGGAGGCTGGGTTTCAGAAAGAAGGAAGGAATTGGGGAGGCACTTGAACCTGACAAAGTCTGAACATGCAGCTGGCATAGCTGGACTGAGCTGCACTTGTATTTTAGGTCCACAGTGGACGTGACAGAAGTGAGAGACTGGAGATCTCTTGGTAAAGGAAGTTGCCCATAAACCGAAGAAGAACATCCAGGTTCTGTACTGTCTCTTGTGTAACCCTAAATCTCCTCCTCTCACCCGATCCCCCTCAGCACTCACCCTTGATGGTCCCAGCTTCGTGGGGGCTCAGGAGGCTCATCAAGGTGTGGAGTCCCAGGACTAACCCCCCACTGAGGACCATTGCCCTGATGCTTTAACGGAGTAAGTCTTGGTGTGGGGCCCTGGTAGGAGGTAAAGGAAGGAGGCAGAGGTAAAGAGGAAGAAAACAGATTCTAAGAGGGGGAAGACCCCCTGCTCTATACAGCCAATCAAAGACATTGTCTGAGTTAATGTGGCTGTTGCTGGGTAAAGAAGCATGGAGCCTAGGTGGAAGGTGGAAGAAGGCATTGGGCCCTCTTTCACCAGGAAGTCTCAACCCACAGGACAGTCAAAAGGAGGTTTCTGTTTGGGAAGTGGCAGGGGCCTACATCAACCGTTACTACAAACTCCAAGAAAAGACCTTCTGGAAGGAGAGGAAAGGCCATCAGAGAACCACACAGCCAAGCTCAAACAAAGCCTCTATCTTGATCTGTAGCATAGAGAATCCCAGTCTCTCTGTAAGTTTCTGCAGACAAATTTGGAGTTGAAAAGTCATATGAACTATACTAAGAAACTTTTAAAAGGAAATATTGGATACACAGAATGAAAATACTTTAAACCTTTAAATCATTTTGGAAAATATTACTTTATTTCATGTGTGAGGAAAAATACGTGTAATTATCAGAGATGTCTAGAGTAAGGAGCTTCAGTGGACTGTTCTGAGGAGGGCAGAGGGTGCTGCCTAACCTCTATTTGTCCCTGGGCACCCTGCTCCATGCTGCTTGTGGGCTGGCTCATGTGGACAGCACCTCCCTTCCCTCTGGATTCTGGTTGAGCTCAGCATTGGCAGAATTTAGTCCAATATGAAAAAAATATATAAAGATATGGGGCGCCTGGGTGGCTCAGTCAGTTGAGCGTCCGACTTTGGCTCAGGTCATGATCTCACGGTTCGTGGGTTCCAGCCCCACTTCGGGCTCTGTGCTGACAGCCAGCTCAGAGCCTGGAGCCTGTTTCGGATTCTGTGTTTCCCTCTCTCTCTGACCCTCCCCTGCTCATGCTCTCTCTCTCTCTCAGAAATAAATAAAACATTTAAAAAAAATTTTTAAAAAGAAAAAGAAAAAATATATAAAGATAGATATTTTCCAGATAAGGAAAAGTCTAACCAAATATCTGAAGGCAGTTTCTGAAAGATCATGAAATAAATGATTTTCAATTTGGAAGGGAACTAAGAAATCATCTGTTCCAAACCTGGTTACACAGGAGAATCACCTGGGGAGCTTGTTAAAAATACCGATTCCTGATCTGAGTTAGAGTAGCCTTTCCAAGGGTAGTACGAGGAGACCTGGTTGGCAGCATGCTCCCTAGGTGAACAACATCGCAACTGAAAAGAACTCTGCTTCCAACCTTGCACCCAACAGAGAGCCTGTGGAAGGCACACCTGATCTGATGGCTTTGGACCAGAAGCCACATACCATTTCTACTCACATTCCATCAGCAAGAATTAAATGATGACCCTGGCTGGGTACAATGGGGCTAGAAAAATGTATTTTAGCTGTGTGTTCAGAAAAATGTGGTTTGGCGAATGCAAGGCACTATCTCTGCCCCATCCCAGCTTTATTTATTGTGATTATTGACACATTCTAACTTGTGTGTAATACTTTATTTATTTCAATATTTCTGTTTCTTAAATTTGTTTTCAGCCTTCATCTTTTTTTTTTAAATGTTTTATTTATTTCTAGGAGAGAGAAAGAGAGAGAGACAGCATGAGCAGGGGAGGGTCAGAGAGAGAGGGAGTCACAGACTGAAACAGGCTGCAGGCTCTGAGCTGGCAGTCAGCACAGAGCCCGACGCGGGGCTCGAACCCACGAACCGCGAGATCATGACCTAAGCGAAAGTCAGACGCTCAACTGACTAAGCCACCCAGGCGCCCCTTCAGCCTTCATATAAAAAAAAAAAAAGTATTATCTATATCTTACCTATCTTCCCTCTAACCAGATAAGAACTTTAGCATGCTTTAAAATTATTCATATACTCCCTCTCTTCCTCACTAAGGTGTTTGATCAACGTTACTACTTCTCATCCTTTTTGTGGTACCTCTTGACATCTTTTCTCTTATTGAAATAGAGAAACTTCACTTCTTCCAAAAATGTTTTAAGCATGAGTATTTCTGTGGCAAATCTCCTGAAACATTGTATGCTTGAGAATATTTTTATTATATCATCACTTTTGAATAATGTTTAACTATGTGTTAAATTCTAAGTTGGAAGATGTTTTTCTTTCTTTTTTTTTTTTTTTTTTTCCAACGAAAACACACTTGGGGCACCTGGGTGGCTCAGTTGGTTAAGTGTCTGACCTCAGCTCAAGTCATGAACTCCCAGTTCCTGAGTTCAAGCCCCACATCGGGCTCTGTGCTGAAAGCTCAGAGCCTGGAGCCTGTTTATAGATTCTGTGTCTCCCTCTGTCTCTGCTCCTCCCTCACTCACGCTCTGTCTCTCTCTGAAAAATAAACATTAAAAATTTTTTTAAAATAAATAAAACACACTTTAAAAAAAAAAAAACTTGATTGAAAGCCTTATGGTACACACAGGTTTAATGGAGCTGACCTGTTTTGTTCACACGGACTCCAGTGAGTTGTATTTGGGTTTCCTATCCTCGACACTACTCAATTGCTACTGTTGCCCTTAGTTGGTTTTCTTTCAGGCTCAAGGTGAGTGCTTTCATGTAAAATCTTAGTTTTAATTCCTCCTCCGGCAGTTCTCTCCTGGCTTCTTAGCTTTGCATAATTATACCCACAGTGGAGCCAACATCATCAAGTCACCAAGATAAAGCCTCCTACGCCAACATCACATGATCTTCTGCTAGCTAACAAAAAATGTCCAAGGCCAGCCACAACAGATCCTAATGAACCATACAATATTAAATCTCATGCATAGGGAATGTTTTCAACATTAAAAGTCCTAGAAGCTTAGGGACACGTGGATGTCTCAGTCAATTGGGCATCTGACTCTTGATTTTGGCTCAGGTCATGATTCTGGGGTAGAAAGATCTCTCTCCCTCTGCCCTTCTCCCCTGCTTGCGCATTCTCTCTTAAATAAATAAATAAATAACAAATATCATGACATAAATAACATAACATAACAAACATAACATAAAAAATAAAATAAAACCCCTAGGAGTTTAAAGGGCTAGGATAAGCCCTTGCTCTTGCCCTTGGCAGGCTCACAGGGCTCAGGTCAGGCAGCCCTGGGCTCCAGGGAGTGTTTTCCTCTTTAATATCATCCCAATGTCTTTTTGCATTCATTGTTTCAGTTAAGAAATCTGTCAATCCTTCTCTCTGGAAGCTTTTAGAATTTTCTCATTACCTTTGATCTTTTAAATTTTTGTTACATTGTACATAAAATGGGTTTTTCCTTCTCTTGCCATAGGACATTATGGAGCCTCTGTATTTTTCATTCTGGAAATTCATCTCTTTATTTCTATAACACTTTCCTCCTCTCTGTTTTAATTTTTTTTCTCTTTATGAAATTGCTTCCTATTATCCCTATTTAGGCACTTCTCTCCCCCATCTTTTTTCACATCTCTACTATTTTCTTTTTCTTCTTTCTTAAATTTTTTAATGTTTATTTATTTTTGAGAGAGAGAGACAGAGCGTGAGCAGAGGAGGGGCAGAGAGAGAGAGAGACAGAGAGACAGAATCCGAAGTAGGCTCCAGACTCTGAGCTGCCAGCACAGAGCCCAAAGAGGGACTCAAACCACAAACAATGAGATCATGACTTGAGCCAAAGTCGGAAGCTTAGCCAACTGAGCCACCCAGGCACCCACTGACATCTCTATTTTCAATTTTGTTGATTCTAGGAGACTTCTTCAGTGTAGTGCTCCCACTTACTCATTTGTTTTTCCGTTGTATGTCTCCCACTATTTATTCCCATTGGCGGGGTTTTTATAGATTTCCCTGTATTCCCTATGTTTTTTCACATTATAGCTTTTCTTATTTTTAATGCACTTTTCATGCTCATTTTAAGTGGCCATTCTATATTTTCTAATACTTCTTTAAGGACACATATGGGCCTGTTTGTTTTCCTTGGTGGGGAAGTCCCCAAAGGGCGGGAGTTATTATTTTGGCTGGTGAGTGCCCATCTGTGTCAGTATCATGAATGTAAAGGAAAGGAAGGGCTAGAGTCCTAGGACAGCACAAAAGCAGTTATCACCCTTTTTTAAAAAAAAATTTTTACAAATAGTTTATTGTCAAGTTGGTTTCCATATAACACCCAGTGGTCATCCCCACACGTGCCCTCCTCCATGCCCATCTCACCCCTCCCCCACACACCCATCAGGACAAATACCATACGTTTGCACGTACAGGAGGATTAGGAGGAACTTAATGGAGGACCATGGGGCAGTTATCACCCTTTTAATGTCACCTTGCTGGTGACAGTTCAGGTCAGGGCTTCAGGATAAGGAACATCGGGAGAGGCCAGTCCTCTCTCTCAGTGACCCAGCCCTGGGGCCGGTAGATAGAGTACTGAGGAGTGAATGACTATGGCGTCAGGGTCACCTATTGTCCTAGCCCCTCCCCACCCCAGCAGGGATTTCAACCTAGACTTTCTCCCCAACCCTCTACAGCAATATGAGCAATCAAGAATCTTACCACTGTTTTTTGCATTATGGGGCAAGCAATAATTATTCAAGGTCAATGCTGGGGGAAAGCAAGAGCAGTTTGCTTCTAATGAATCTCGTCACAACAAGAAACCCATCCTAAAACAATTGACAGTGTCACATAGTTTCCCTTCACAGTTTCTCCAGGGTTGGTTTTTAAGAGTTGCGAGCCAAGAACGCATGCAAATGTATCATGGCAGGAAGCAAGTCTCTCCATTATTCCCTATAATATTTATGTATGAACTACATTCCCCCCATATAGAAATGTCAAAGGGTCATGGTTCATTGTCTCTTTGTTATATAAACCCCTCTCTTCCTGGAGATGCTAACACGGTATTAAATAAATGCTTGTCAAATGAACTAATAGGTGATAGCAAATAAAAATCAATGAGGTGAGGGGTGCCTGGGTGGCTCAGTCGGTTGAACGTTCGACTTCAGCTCAGGTCATGATCTCATGGTTTGTGGGTTTGAGCCCCATGTCG